GTCTATTTTTATATCTCAAACCCTCCATTCCCAGCAATATGCTGGTAATTTTTTTCTGAACCCTTTCCAGCTTAATAACATCCTTCCTATTACAGGGTGACCAGAACTGCAAACAGTACTCCAGAAGAGGTCTCACCAACATCCTGTACAACCTCAACATATGCCATCCCAACCTCTATACTCAATTTTCTGTGCAATGAAGGTAAGTGTACTGAATGCCTTCTTCATCACCCTGTCTACTTGTGACGCAAACTTCAAAAAATTATGTACCTGAATCCCTAGGTCTCTCTGTTCTACAGCTTATTATCACAATTTAGGAGAAAAGGAATGTAATGTGTACTCCAGACCCATTCTTCATCATATTCATAACAAGCCAATTAAAAATAATACTTCTGAATGTAAATGCAGACATCTGAAGGAAAAATCCGTGTTAGAATTCATTAACACCTGTTATAATTGTTGATTCAGAGGTCACATTTTATTCCACAAGGATTGTGTTAAATATCTCTCAATATGATTTTGTTGAGATAAAAATTACAAAAGTGAATAGGCAGCCAAAAAGAGGCATAAACCCTGATCTTTCAAGTCTTTTCTGAAATCAGTGAAAAACCAAAGGAAGCTGACCTGCAATTTTCTGATAGGTGATTGTGGCGCCTTGCAATGGGTAAGAAATAGGGAATTTGGTTTGTTGTGAAAGGTCACAATACATGATAAAACAGAAAATGTAAAAATAGAATCACTAATTAGAAAATAAATGGTGAATAAAAGTGAGTTTCTCAAGCCAGTAAATAAACAGACACAAGCATTTAAATCAACATTTATATTGTTCTTTTAACTAATAATGTTGAATTCCTGGACCTATATGAATAGCTTTCACAGACAAGCTAATTTTAAGAGGCATCAGAGCCATAAATCAGTCAGAGGCATATATTGCTAACACATGAGATCTGATTTTGTTTTCTAACAAAAAATAATGAATACATATTTTCTGTGATGGATTGGCTAATAGTAGCATGCTGAATATCTGACATTGTCATTTGGTGAAATGAAGTGAAACTAATTTGGAAGTGTGTGCTTACAATTATAAAATTATTGTGAATTTTCTGATCCAAATCAAGTCTGTAATTCAAATTATATTTTGAAAAATTATGAAGTAGGTTGCATCAACTTGATTTGCATTCTCTTTGACGTTAAAAAGTTAAGAGGTGATCTAATAAGTATAACGGAAATTGATAAGGGACAGGGAAACCATTTCCTCTCCAGGAAATCCAGGAACTTAACCTTAAAATTAAAACTTAAGTACTTCAGCTAAAAACGAGTGAAATTAGTAAGCCTTTACAAATGAGTAGTGAAAATCTGGAATTCACTCCCTCAAAAATGGTAAGGAAGCTGGGATACATTTGAGATTGATTTTAGGGCATCAAATGAAAATTATCAAAAAGTCGCAACTCAGATACAAATCAGCCAAGTTCTGTATCTCTACTGAATGATCAACTCCTGTATCTATATTCTCAAGATCATTGATTTTTTATTTTTACCCACTGTACCCCACAGCTAGTACCTACAATCGTACTGTAACAATTAGAACAGTAAACATATAGGTGTCATCAATGCACTTCATTGTCCCAACAGCAGCTTGGTTCTGTGTTATTAGATTTTATTTTAAAAAATAAACTGCAACTCTTCAGGGAAGACAGCATTCAATTCACTGTAAGTAATTGGGAACATCATGATTAGTTGTTCATTTTTGTTTTCAAGGCCTGGAAAACACATTGAGTGATATTTTCATCATGCTTATTATTTTTGCATAGAGTTTATTTTTGCTATTTCAGTGTATTACACTATTCAAAACAAATTTCCACTGTGTAAACCCATTTAAAATTTATTTTTTCCAGGGGTCAGTACAGACACAATGGGTTGAACGATCTCCTTCTGTACTGTAAAATTTTATGATTGTACAATTCTATAAAATTGTTCCATTTCTGCATTTTCAAGATGAATGCACAAAGAAAACATGGAATGTGAAGGAATTGTTTCCCAGACTTTGAATGATGTGGGCAATGGCGACTCAGTTGTGAAAATAAGCTGACATTGTAACAGTGAGATTCTTGACATTGAAAAAAAAATCCGACTTTCCATCCAAGGTTTGAACAATGAAATGAGAAAGAGGCCTATGTTCATGCTTTTATGTCTCATTAGTTTCTAATCTCACCTCATTGATATGCAGTTTGTTATTCTTCCACATGGAGATGAGAAACCAGGTGGCAACGATTCACAACGTGAAAGTTCCATGAATACGTGGCAGCTTCAGTTTTCCACTTGCTCACCTGGGAATCTACCTTAGCCAAAAGTCCCCAGCATTTCAGAGTTCACTGAGATACAGCCCCTTCAATGGATGCTGACATCTGACATGTGCCACCATCACCACAACATTACGCCGCATTTCAGAATAACTTGCAACAGAGTTCTCCTCCTCAATGCCACTCTCTGGAGCGCATTGATACCTCTACATTGGAATGGTGCTGCCACAACACTTAATGGGTGCCAGGCACCCATCCACCTCATACGTCAGCAGGATGCATCTCAGGGCTCTCAGCAAGACCTGTAAGTCAGCAGGATTACTGAAACCATGCCCCATCACCCATGAAAGGTAGTGGTGTGTATAAAAGCATGTTGGTGAATACTTACAGTTCAAGCTAAGAGGAAATCAGTTCCATGCCCTTGAGCAGCCTAGGAGATCTTGGATTTTCTTTATGTATTGTGGCCCACAGGTGCCACTTTTAATGTTCCCTGTGATTATTTCTGTTTCAAGGAGATGACAATGATCAATTGGCAATGACCAATGACATGGTAAAGATTGTTTGTGGCTATGAATTGTATCCCACATAGTTGAACACTGTGTGCATTTCACATGCAGAATTCGATGATTAGAGATGACTTGCATTAGAGATACAATTGCCCTTTGTAGGGCTTCATATCGCTCACAAGTACAGCCCACACGCTCAAACTGAATAAAACAAACACTTCCTTCACCCACTATGGGTGTGGTTACACCCATTTTGCATTTCCAGTGAGCTTTCATGAGTCACATGAGTATGGAAGGTGATGCTGGTCGCACTTGACAGACTGAGTCACAGGCTCAGTCTGCAAATCAAGAAGCCCTCTCTGAATTTCTATGTTCCTTTTTTTCTTGCACTCCATGTCGGCCACATCAGCACCAAGCTTCCACACATTCCCACGTACCACTCAGAATTACAGCTTCATCTCTCAATATTACCATGCCAAGAGCCCTGGCCTTATAGCTTTGTCATGCCAATGGCTGTGCTGCACTGTCTCCCCATCAAGGTAAGGGTGGATGTGCCTCTCAATGACTTGCCCCCACCCGCCTTTAGCCCAACTTGCCCCCACAGCAATAATCCATGCCCACGAATGCAGTATGGTCTCCCCACTCATGTGTTCAATCTCCCTCCCTTACAATTATTGTCCCCTGTGCATGTCAGGACATTGCCTTCAGCCCCAATTTCCCTATAACAGCAGTGCACCCTAATTACCCCCCTTGACTTTTATTGAGCTAACTCCCAGGACTGACCATGGCCGAGCATCCCCTGCCACCCCTCAACAGACTTGAAATGACAGTCCTTACTGACGTTCAGACACTTGGCTGATCTCTGAGCAGCTCCTTATCTGACTGTGATTGCCCAGACAGATTGTACTGGGGCTGGAAGTCTGATTGTGGACCACTCCCCAGACTTGACTAAGATGCACCCATTGGACAGGTCCTGCAGCTGCAGGATGACTGTAACCAAGCCCCTGAACTGATATCCCAGGCTCCCTTGACTTATTGTGGCAAGAACGCCTGATTGAAGACTAACAGGGAACCAGTTTCCTTTGACTTTGAGACCTGACTGTCTGGTTGAAGCACATTCAGTGCTTTTTTTTCCCCACTTCTGCTGGTGGCATGTGGTGCAGATGTGAGATTGACATAGTATGGTCCCTACAGCAACACTTTCTTCCCCTTGACTGATCACTGCTGGTAACCAAGACAAGCTGACTGGCTTCGTGCCTGCACTAAAAGACAGGTTAAGACAGAAGCACTATGAGCTTTTAAACTCCGACTGAGGGGATAAAGTACAAGAAGGTCGGGCAGAGATGCTGCAAGCATCCAGGCAGGCACACGTGAATAAGCACTAATGAAACAATTGCAGAGCCCTTACAAGCACCGTGGTCTGATCCATGAGCTGGCTGCCTTTCCTAGTGCCAACATTGTAATGTAAGGTGCTGAGGGTGCACTCCAATGTGCAACACTGAAGTGCAGAATGGTATTGTAAGTGGTCAGAGATGTGGCATGACAATGTGCAGGGGCTGGTACATGTCCAATGCCAACCATTGTAGGTGGGCGGGCAGTTCCTTCCTCTGGAGTGGAGAGCTGGAGTCACCGGGTACCAACTCTGATCTTCATATTGGGAACTGTTGCTTTCTAGTATCAAACAGAATTCTCCTCTCGGCACTGAAAATCTCATTTCTGCCAATAACACCCTATTTTTCCAATGCTCATGTTGCTCAGGGGCTGGTGAGTTCTTTCCATAGCTTCTCTCACTGCATTGCTATTAGCTCCCAACTTCAGTAAATTGCCACTGGAAAACTAAATGAGCAGGGGAAAATTTAGCCAAGACAGACATTTTTAAAGGTCCTGCCACGACACCCTTTCAACCAATATTTTACAAATATAGTTGTTAACAATTTGCAATAAATTGTGCCAGATTTTCAATGGCAGCAGTGACCTCACCAGAAGCATAATTGAGTGAAAATAACTTCCACCTCTTCAGCTTGATTTACACTATGTTATTGTCTTCAAAAGTCTACATAGCTATTGACAGATTTGGATGTCATTAATTTCACATTAAAATGCTTTAATGTTCAAACAGAATTGTTGTGATAACACAAATGGAGGTCAGAAAGTTCAAAGAAAAAGAATGATGCACTAAGAGCGTTTAACTTACTTTGGCGTTTGCGTTTCTTCCACTCTGTTTCCGAGCTGGAACTCGTGTGATTTACTTCGGTGTAATGCAGTGAAGCCAGGAATGAGGTGAATCAGTTTACGAGAGGTTGGCGGAGGCGTTCCAGGTGGCTTCAGCTTATTCCTTCTCCTCACTGGAGGAGTTCCTGGAGGTGTCATTGTTGTTACTATGGGAGGAGTCCGTGGAGGAGTGTGCATGGCATGCCGTTGTCGTGGAGAAGGTGGCAGAGAACTTGGCCCACTCTCAAATGTAGGGTAAAGTCCAATTGGATCTCCAATGGTTAGTCTATCTGTGTATGTACAAGTGGGTCCCAGCACAGGCACTGAATGGAAGTCTTGCTGCAGGAATTTTGATGGGAATTTGGGACTGTGCGCAGTATGGCATCCAGGCCACTGGACTGGTTCTGCTTGGCTGACGGGAGTGTTCTCTTTGCCAGTTTCTGTTGTAGGCCACTGGATAGCCCAGTCCTGGCTGGAGTGGCTACTCCCTGCATTTCAAAAGCGAAAGGCACTTATTATATCTACCAAATACAAAAACAATTTGCATACAATTTTTCCTGAAAAAGAGTAGCAGATTATGTGACTTCAGTTAATTCAGAAGTTAATGAAGTTTAGGCATAAGCTCAGCTTATTTCCTGATAACAGGTTACCTATGGGTTGAAATTGCATAAGTGCCTAACGGAGCACAGGACCAGTTTAAGCTATATTGCTGAGCAGCTTCTCAAGTAAATAATTGCCAGTAAACACTATGTGCTGTTGTGCAAACCATTGTAACTTTCTTTTTCTTTTTTTCTCCATCACCTTCTCTCTCACTTTCTCTTCTTGAAATAAGCTGTGAATTCAACCCACATTATTTTATAAAAGATACTGGCTAGCATTTTTCCGATTTGATTGTTAATTTGATAAAGCATTTAGCGAAGTTGTATCTTTTAGGATAGGTGAGAATCAGGAAGTTCTGCTGCTCAGTTTTGTTAAGCCATGAGTTTATTTTCTCATTAGTTTGAGGTGTCTCTCCCATGTGAAACCTTTGTCAGGTACATCAATCAATGCAGTTGAAAAAAAATCTCCTTTCAATTACTACAACAATGTATGTTTAACCTGTGCTTGCATTATATTTTCAGCACTTAAAAACATAAACCATATGTTTGAAATATTTTGATATGATTTATTACGACTATAAGTTCAACTCCAGGAAAACACCCCTAGTCCATTAATGACGTTTCCAGTCTTTACAGCATCCATTTATGTGGCCACCCAACATCGGCCCTAGATTTCATCCCAAATAACTCCAAATATGGGTCAGTTCTGTGCTGTGGACCTGTCAGGTCCTGAACTGAGTCCATCAAAACTGGTTCATTTGGAATCTCTGACACCATCAAAGAATTCACACTTTGATTCCGAGTACATGGGCTGAACTCAATTTCAAGTCCTACAGGTGAAAGCAGATTGTTCTAGTTTATTGCACCACCCAGATCCAACCTTCATAATCATCTATCATATTTCTGAAATCACCACTCTGTAGTAATTGGAGAAGACAGCTCTACAAAGCAAAATTCAAATACCGAAAAAATATTTATCATCAGTTCTATTATCAGCGACTGCTGTTATCCTAATCACACTCAGTACACTTTCAAATGAAGCAGCTTTATTGTTTGGATGACACTTTCTCACTTTAATCTTACGGTGTTGATTTTACTTAAATGTAAGCAAGATTCTAGATATATCCCTCTGGTTATTATTAAGAAATGCCTAAAGGGATCTACTTAAAGTCCAGTGATTGATGTACCAATGTGGTCTATAAGCCTGACGAAAACAAAAAGATTTCTCATCACAGCTTTCCCAAATGGAAAACACAGTCACCTATTAAAAGGCTTTGTGCAGGTTGATGTTTCCCCCCCGTAATAAACATAACATGATATAGCGTTTATGGACTACAGTAGCATGGTAGTTATGTTATCGGACTTATACATTATTCTTTCACAAGATGTGGGAGTTACTGACTCGGCCAGCATTTACTGCCCATTCCTAATTGCCCATGAGGTGGTGGTGTTGAGCTGCCTTCTTGAACCGCCTCATCCATATGGTTAGTACACCCACAGTGCCATTATAAGGAGGGAATTCCAGGGTTTTGATCCAGCAACAGTAAAGCAACAGCGATAGAGATACCGAATCAGGATAGTGTGTGGAATGAAGGGGAGCTTGTAGATGGTGGTGTTCCCATGCAACAGCTGCCCTCGTCTTTTTACAAGGTCAGGGTCCAATTGCTTAATGTAATCATTTACACGTCTTCAAATCCCCGTCCCCTTAATAGCAGCTAGGGAAATTTAATCCCAAAGAATTAGCTACCTCTGGAATTTAAAATAAAAACTGGTCTCAGAAATGATGAGCACCAGTTTTTTAAAAACACTGACTCATTAATTTTTTTTGAGGAAAGAAATCTGCTGTCTTTACCTGATCTGGCCTGTATGTGACTCCAAACCCAAAGCAATATGGTTGACTCTGAAGTGTCCTTTGAACAGCCAGAAAAAGTCTCTCAGTCTTTAAGGCAGCTTCTCAAGGGCAATTTCAGATGAGCAATAAATGCTAGTGGAAGATCAGTGCTAACAAAATTGCCCTAAAGGCTCTATGGATTGAAGAATATTGGCAAAAACTGATGAACAGTAAAATTACTAATAAACCAAGAAAACAGTATTTAATGGTACTTTATGCAACAGTCCTGCAGCCAAGTCCCTCTCCAGTTCATGAAGCATTACTTCATTAGATGGTCACCAGGAGATTGAGATATGAGGGTGTTGCATGAGGGGAGGGGATAGTGAAAATTTGAATCACTGTGTATACTATTCACAAGCTGTAGAAATCAGTGAAGAAAATGGCACATCTTAAGGAAGCTGTGTGCCTTAAACGACAAAGGTCAGAAGTCACATGACACCAGGTTCGAGTGCAACAGGTTTATTTGAAATCACAAGCTTTTGAAGCGCTGCTTCTTCAACAGGTGAAAGCTATTTCCATGGTAAACAGCCCAAGAATGCAAGGCACAAAATACATTGCCAGCACCATTTTACCAAGGGGTTCCACCAGTCTTCCATCAAAGTTATGGCTGCACATCTGGGCAACTCCAGCAGAATTCAGAGCTGTTCAGTGCATTTTTAACTTACTGTACACCCACTGGGAAACTGACACGATTGGGTTCTGAAGAAGGGTCACCGGACTCAAAACGTTAATTCTGCTTCCTCTCCACAGATGCTGCAAGGCCTGGTGAATGTCTCCAGCAATTTCAATTTTTGTTTCAAATTTCCAACATCTGCAGTTCTTTGTTGTATTGAAATCACTCGGGAGTCGCATCTGACGGGTATAAAGCAAGTATACTACTCCATCCCGGTCTCCGCTGGTGAGTTAAGATAAAATTATTCCACTATCTCTGTATGCTCTTTCTTCCACTATTTGATTATTCATTAATCCAGTAACCTGTCAGGTAAGTTTACATAGCTGATTTGTCATGAGCAGAATTAAAATGACAAAATATCAAAGCAGCAAATGACAAGCCCCAAAGGAAATACTTGATGGTAACAAGAGAAGATGCAAAAATAGAAAGGAATAGAATATAAACGCAACATTATTAATAACTCATCAGCTTCCATGGATCAAGCACAAGCACACTTTCATCACATGGTATAAATTGTTGTTCCTTTTAAGATTCAGTATTCTTGAAATTCTGGAATTCCCTCCCTAATGTCATTGAGAGTCAACCCACAGTAGGTAGACTGCTGCAGTTTAAGAAGGCAGTTCACCACCACCTGCTCAAGGGCAGCTGGGGATGGGCAATAAATGCTGGCCAGCCAGCAACTTCCACAACCGAGAAATGAATGTTAAAAAAAAATTCTGTTCCGATGCGTGCAAGTTGAGGTGGTTGTGAGCTGCCTTCTTGAACCAATGTGTCAATTTCAGTCACTTTCATGCACAGCTTCTCTCTGTGAGCCCTAGCGAGTTATCTCATGCAATTCTCTGCCGCTCATTTAATTATGTATGCATCATGCCACTATGACATTGCTTTCGGGCTATCGTGCATTGAGCAGTGAAAGCAGTACTTGCTGCTGCTGAGACATGCCAGGATATGTGCTGCCGTCACCATATTTAAACCCCAGCTGTACACCAGGTCAATTGCTGCAAGCTAGGAACTGCCACTCGCTGTTTCAATGTGGAAAGAACTGCTTCAGAGTTGGCCGAAAGAGGCAAGTTGGCAGCTTCTTTTGTTAACAGGGACCTAGGGATAGCATGGTACAAAGGAGGGACATCCTCCGTCCTCTGGACAGCCCTAGGAAACCATAGTAACAGACCCTGCCAGGTTGATCTGAAGTTGCCACCAGGGTCAGTAATTGTCCATAGTCCAGAGGAATTCCCACCAGTGCTGCAAGAATGACCTTTTGTGTTCCACACGGATAAGCGCCATTACCTTCTCTCGGCTATCTCACACTCAGTCTAACTCTGCTACTGCACCCATCTCTCACCAAGGTCTACCATTCCCTTAGTGCTCTCACAACTCACACACACACACACACACACATACACACACACACACACACACACAGCACTTCCTATTCTTTTCCCCCACCTGCACCAGCATCAGCTCAAACCTGAAGCTCCCTCCTTCACAGAATGAAGCACTTGACCTCATCCATTCTGGGAGTGGTTACAGCTATTTTCATCTCCATTGTTCACTTGTTACTTACAGCTTGATAGAAGGCAAAAGCAGTAACTCCTCATTATAGTGAGTGTCGGGCTCAGCCTCTTTGAATTGGTAAACCCCCAAATCAATACATTCCTTTCCTGGTAGCTCTCCCCATCAATCCAATTGGCTTTGCACTTCCCAAAATCCCTAACCCATCTGTCTTCTTCTGCCCACTTTACACCACCGGCCCTGGATCTATCAAGTAAACGTGCTAGAATGAGGCATCCACTTTACAGCAGTAGAAGCCAGGATGCTTCTAACAGTCGACAACCCCTTCTCCCACATTACCACTTTCCCTGGGTGTGTGTGCATGCAGTCATTGTCCATGGAGAATACTCTGAGTCCTTGGTGGCACGTGATCAAGATAGAAGTCTGGAGGAGTGAGCAACGAGCTGACATCTCTAGGTTCCCTAAATGGCTTTCATGTCAGGAATTCTCAGAGTTTAGTTTCTATCAGGTGGATGTTACAATGGGAAAGTGTGTACGAAGGAGGTGAAATTAAGTAATAACATGGGTGATGAGTGATAATCCCCATTAATAGCCTCTCACCAGCGCGAGTCACGTGTTGTCATACAGCACTTGGTTAGAAAATGCAAATTTGATCTCAGTGTCGAGAACGACTTCACTCAACATCTCACCAAATTTCCTCAAATTTCCCACTATAATCCACGCTTGGAAGAATTACATTGCTTTATAAATGGTCTAAATTCATTTTTGCATTTTTATTATCTTAATTGAGACAGAAGATATGTTAGCCCATTA